TTCCCTATTCAGCCCCCAAAAATGAGGCTTGCCACTGCTCAGGGCTGTGTGGATCTTGACTGTGGCATAATGCAACTCTTCTGCTTAATTCTTAAATGTGTAGAATGCATAAATTGAAATCAATTCTATGCGGTGCAGGCCAACACTGAAGAGCATTGCAAGAGAATGACCTAAATTGCTTCCTGCTGTCTGAAAGAGGAGGATACTGCTCAGTATGCTCAGGTTATGGCTTTTCATTTGATAAAGGTGTAGATGAAATGGTAGCTATGAACTGAAGCCATAAAAGTGGGTCAGATCACAGCCCTTTATAACAGTAAAGGAAAACAACAGGATTTTTTGTAAAAAGTGCCAGAAGTCTGAGCTAGAAAATATGTTGATCTTGCACAATGCACTAAGACATTTTCTTAAGATTTATGCAGCTATTTATTTTGCCATGCTGTAGTATGGCTTTCCTTTCTAGGATGCCCCAGGACCTGTTTCTCATCATAAAGGGCCACATGCACCTGCCAGCTCTTCTTGATATGGGGGATGCCACAAGAACAGATTGTAAGATGTTTTGGACTATAACATGCTCTGCCTCTCTTTCTTTGAACCCCCATGTAGGAGTCGCTGTTCTTCCTCATTGACCAAGATGTTTGAAGTATGTCTTTGCTAAGAAATGTAATGATGTAACGTCTTGTGTGAACCATTACAATGAAGATCATTCAGCAGGTTGAGCTAGACCATCCTGAGGTGGCAGATATCAGTTAAGGTCCCATACTTTCCTGTTCAGTATAGGATACAAGCTATGCTCATGGAATATGTGAGATGCTATTACTGGAGAAGTGTTTCTTGTGCTGTATGCTATCCTGGTCTGCCATCAGTTGCTGAGTTTGGTGTTCTTAAGGCTTTGGGTACCATTACTGCCCATATTTGATACTTGCTGGTTTTGCCAATCCATGCAAAATCAGTTTCTAGGCAACATGACTGCCAGTATTTGTGATGGAGCATTACTCTATTTCTCATACTATCAACTGTGGATAGCTATAGACCATTTGTGTTTTGTAAATTCTGTAAATAAGCTTCTAGTTGTCATGGTAATAAAGTATGTATCAGAGCTTTTTAACTGAGTTGCTTGTCAATTTGGATGTTACCTTCTTTTTCCATTGCCTTTGTTTGGTACATTCTGTATTTTATTCTTTTTTAGAAAGAATCTGTTACTATATGTAAGATGTCTTTTTTCCATTCCTATAAAAGAAAGTGCGATCCTACTTTATTGATCACATGCATTGTTTCTGACATGATAGCAGCAGGAGGTCAATTCTGTTGGGAAAAAAGAAACCTGTTTTTCAGGGAAGCTGTACTGGGTGCACACAGGGAATGAGGAAATAGAAATTCATAATGTCGTGGTTCATTGCAGCTAACTATGTCTGTGTCTAAGAATTTTTCGAGAGTACGCCTGAGGAGTATTCTTCAATAAACAGTATTCATGTTTGTTTTGAAAAGGAACTTTAAAACTGACCGTATCTAAATCTCTATGAAAAGCTCTGTTTGAAAAACACTCACTGTGCAGGTAAGTGTTATAATCTATTAGACATTACCTGTTCTTTGTAATGCAGGATTACAGCTGGACAGACATCCGATGTCCCTTTGAAAAGCGCAGGGATGCAGCTTGTGTCTTCTGGGACAACGTAGTTTATATTTTGGGTGGTTCCCAGCTCTTCCCTATAAAGCGAATGGACTGCTACAATGTGGTGAAGGATAGCTGGTATTCCAAACTAGGACCTCCAACACCTCGAGATAGCCTTGCAGCCTGTGCTGCTGAGGGCAAAATTTATACATCTGGTGGTTCAGAAGTGGGTAAGACACTAAAAATCTTTAAAACAAACCAAAAAAAAAAAAAAAGCACAAAGATAGATACCTGGATTTTCTGGTTTTTGCATGACTGTTGAAAAGAAACTGCACGTTGCCCTGTTAGCCTAATGAGTTTATTTTCCCATATTTAGGATTTTATCCTCCTCACAATCCAACAGCCTGTTTCTGTGGTGTTTTTAAAATGGCTTCACTATACTGAAATGATTAATATTTACATGAACTAGAGCATAAAGTACACTGCAGCTCTTAAGGGTTAACTAGGGACAAGCAAATGTGTTTGGGGAGTCCCACTCTGCATTAAGCTTACTTCTATAAATCCACAGAACTCACTGTGGTTTAAAGCTTTCTGTGATGTACAGC